ATCTCTAAACACATGAGATTCTTCGGGTTGTCGAAGCAGTCCCTTATCCAATAAGGTTCTTCGTGATATCAAAGCAGTATCTCTAAACACATGAGATTCTTCGCGATACCAAAGTAGTATTTCTAAAAACATGAGATGCTTCGGGTGGTCGAAGCAGTCCCTTATCCAATAAGGTTCTATGCGATACAAAAGAAGTATCTCTAAACACATGAGATTCTTCGGGTGGTCAAAGCAGTCCCTTATCTAATAAGGTTCTTCGGGATACCAAAGCATTATCTCTAAACACATGAGATTCTTCGGGTGGTCAAAGCAGTCCCTAATCCAATAAGGTTCTTCGCGATATCAAAGAAGTATCTCTAAACACATGAGATTCTTCGCGATACCAAAGCAATATCTCTAAAAACATGAGATTCTTCAGGTGGTCGAAGCAGTCCCTTATCCAATAAGGTTCTTTGCGATACCAAAGTAGTATCTCTAAACACATGAGATTCTTCGGGTGGTCAAAGCAGTCCCTTATCGAATAAGGTTCTTCGGGATACCAAAGCAGTATCTCACTACTAGAAATGCTGTACTTAGCCTCGGCCATTTTCCGTGACTATATGGCAAAAAACCGCAGCTACTAGCCAATTAGCCTCAGATTAGCGTCGGTGTCGGGGATAGGCTAAAACGCTCGAAGCTAACTTTTAGCCTCGGCAAGATGAGCCGTGGCTAAATGTAGCCTCGGTTAGGCCGTGTCTAATTTAGCCTCGGTTTAGCCGCGTCTACTTTAGCCTCGGTAAAGTCGTGTCAAAGAAACACAAAATAGCCTGGGCCTGACCGAGGCTAAAGTCAAACTCCATAAGCTCACGTGCATTTTAGCCTTGGTGTAGCCGTGTCAAAAAAACAAAAATAGCCTGGGCCTGACCGAGGTTAAAGTTCAAACTTTATAACTCGACAAAAAACCTAGGTGCAGATGAATATAGTCTACAATGTGGTACAGCCTGCGGCACAGGCGCAATCCGCAATATGGGTGCAGTCCGCGGGACTGGTGCAACCCGCACTTGCAATGAATTCGGAGCAGGTGATGGAGTCGAAGCAACCGAGGGAGTCGGAGCCAACGATGGAGTCGGAGCCGACGATGGAGTCGGTGCAGTCTCACTGAATATAAATTGTATATAAATGCATATCAATATTTGTGTTTCTTACTAAATATTTGTGATTATAAACTGTATATAAATGCATAAAGGCATAAAGGCATAATATTTGTGATTACAAACTGTATATAAATATTTGTCTCATTTCATTTCCAATCTTAACTACAACACTCACACACATATACAGATAAAGGCATAATAAGAGTAATAACATACAGCAAGGCTAACAGCTCCAAGTCCAAAGATAGCAACAGAAGAGCCAGGTTTTGGCTTTGCAACATTCACAGTAGCACCAAGACCTATAAGCATCAATGCAAATCATGTTACTCTCCTAAGAAGATCGCACATGTTACTCTCCTCTGACTTATAGTGTGGACAATCCCCACACTCTCCTGTGAACACAGGCAAGGCTTGATCTCCTGGTTTCAGATGGGTGACACCCTCACCTACGCTCTCCACAATCCTGATCAACATCATCCCAACAATTATCAATATCATTCATTCACATTATGTACTAGTAAATTACATAATCAAAAGAGAAGCATACCCTCCAGATTCATGACCGAATATACGAGGCCTAAATTACGGGATAGTTACATAGAGTTTGTCACAACCTTGTCTGATTCCATAGGCTGGAAGCAGTTCCTAGGATTTTCTGAAGGAAGGTGACGGTGAAGCAGGAGGCTTCAAGTCCTCATACCTGAAAAGTTCATTTGCATAATAATATCAAAGTCCTACTACAGTCACGACGATCAAAATAAGAAATATTGAAGGTGAGTTGGAATCAGAATCAACTTACATTGCATAAGGTGAAGGTGGTCTAGACTTTGGTTCATGAAGGTGCTGCTGTCCATCATCCTTTGGTGTATCTTCCACAGAAAGTTGAGCTGGTCCATTGCTTGATACTAACGGATCTATCTTGGATGGTGATGTAGTTGGTACACTCGGAGTTGGTGAACTAGGAGGATTTAAATCAAGATATCTATAAACACAAGAAAAAGTTCAAATTTAATCTGTGATGTTTATACTGATATATGATGATATCACCATAAAATTAGAGAGTGGCTTACGCTGCGTAAGGAGATAGATACTCCTTCCCTTTTGAGGAAGATGTTGTCTGAGAAACGCCATCTATTTCTTGAATGCTACTTGGAGTATCTGAAGAAATAGGTGTTGGAACTGCATCACTGATGTTTATCTGTTTCTTCTCACTAGGCTTGGTTGGAGAAGGAGATGATGGTGGCTTTAAATCATCATAACTGAAAATGTATATACCAAATCAGTTGTTTTGCAACTGGTCCACATTAAAATATTTACTGTCAACAAAAATTAGCAATCTCGCTTACGCGGTATAAGGAGACAATGGCTGTTCCGTTTTCGCCACGGGTTTTGGTTGTGCTGTTTCTTTTTTAGGGGCAGTACTAGGTACTTCTGCTACAACATTTGCAGAGGGACCTGTATTACTGGCGCAGTTGTCTCAGCAATGACCTCTACTATTTTACAGTATGAAAGATCGGGATTCTTGGCCATGGTTGCCATGAGTTCAACAACCTGCATTGAGAGAGTTATCAACTTCCATATATCTATAGAAATAGAAATAGATATAGAAATAGAACTAATCAATCAGTTCAACTTCTTTACTACGCAAACACGAAAATATAACTACTGCTCGAGAAAGGTTTCAGAATTCATACTCACTTGAGAATAGCTGCAGGAAAACCAATTTTGTTTGTTCCCAATGAATTAGCCAATATGAAGTGATTTACTTTGGCAACACTTGCTGTAGCACCATGACAGAATAAACACACAAAAAAACTGTTTTCAACATTTAGGCCTAAAACAAATAGCATTGAACATAATTGGTCGTATAGATCACTAACAATGGAGGCGAGATTAGAGTCTTTAGTCTGCAAGGTTATATCCAATTTCTCAAATATTAAAATTACAGAAAAAGAAGAAAAAAAATCTGGTTTGAAATTTTCATATATATCACACACCTTTTCAAGATCCGTGTCTTGGTGATTCTTAAATTTCACGTATGATGGAAATGCAAATCTGTACAAAACTTCATCTAAGAAATTAGGAAATTTAGTTATAAAATAGAGAGACTAATCGCGTCAACTGAAATTTTTCAATGATTGTGAACCTGTTTTTTATGTTAGCCTCCTTGTGACCACACACTGGAGTGTCTACAATAAGGACAATTGCCTTGAAATCAGCATTTTCAGCTCTTCTCACTAGTTGAGTAACTAGATTTTTGTCCTTAAACACCTGAGAGAAGAAAAGATAGTTAAAACCAACGTGAGCAAGATGAAGAAACTAATATATCACACATATGCAAGAATAAGAACTGCAATACAATATGATCCATACCGAACCATGAACGAGAATCAAACAGATCCTGATTTGAACAAAAATCCTTTAAAGCAATAACCAAGAATAGCATAAAAAAAGAAAAAGCAACAAAAGTGGAACCAACTGATTTATTGATGTTGTTGCGTGCGAGTTCGGACTGAAAACGTCACCGGAGTTGCTTGACGATGGTTAGACAATACTTGTTGAGTTTGAAGTTGTCAGAACCTGCGCTAAATTGGTACAAGACTGAACTTGTTATGGTGTAGATCTGCAGTGCTTCAGTTCACCGTAATCGAAACAAAGACTCGATGTGAATCCAATCATAGCAGCAGTAACCGCTTTGTTCCATGGTAGGCACAAACATAGCTGATACGTCTTGGACACCTTCAACCTACAAGCATGTGTAGTCCAATAAACTTATTGCCTTTAATAAATAAGAACCACTACCATGTGTAAACTGATTTTAAAATTCAATAACTTACCTGTTGGGGATATTGTGCATAGCCAGCATATCCAGCATATGCATACAATGAAGGATCCTGAGCTGCGCCATATGCATAAGCTTCATAACCCTGCTGTCCATACCCGTAGTATGCACTCCATTGACTTTGATCCACCTGTTGTCCCCAGCCACCAGGTAAGTCCTACAACCATGAACCATTTCGGGCCAACAATTTGTTAGAGCAAATATAACACTCTAAACATGAGCTACTTATTAAACTAATCAGAGATATCAAAACTCATTGATATATAACCTTGAGTATTTTAAACATCAACAACCATATCTATACATTCGACTCCAACAACATCATCTCCTGTTTTATTCTTTAACTATTAGCAAGTGTAAAGGACTCTCGATGTCCCACATTGGCCATTCACGTGTTACCATAACATCACAATCTCAAGGTTGTTTTGTTTTGACAAGACGTGAAAATGATATGCAAATTACCTGCTGTGGGAAGTCTCCATCTTCCATTTTTGAATTGATTATTAGCTTCATTCCATGGTGTATGGGTGTAGGATCTATTTCAGCCTATTTTGTAACAAAAGCATTCGTCATCCATAATTAGAAAAGGACATTAATTCCTTATTACTAGGAGGCGGGGATAACTATACTAACCTGCCCTGCACCAATAAGGGACAACAAAGCCCACGAGGTTTGAACTAAATTTGCACGCTTGTCTTCTATATTTGTATATACCTTGTTTTGACTTGAAAAGTAACTTTCTCCCCATCCCCCATTTGGAAGCTGCTTGGACAACAAAAATTGACAAGCTCTTTGCAAGGAGGGACTATTACCGTAATTCTTTCCACAAGCCGCTAGCCCTTCTACAGCAAACCACGTACCATATGTATAGCAAATTCCCCAGCACCCATACCAGTGTTTCATTGAAAGTACTAATTATAACTATACTAAATTAGGAACCATACATAGCTGCGGCATGCTACTCAAAATTTAAAGAAAGCCTCTCATGTTTAACACATAATAGATGATTAGGCGGTTTATATTTATCAGTGAGAATAGAAGATAGAATACCAGGAGCCATCAGGATTTTGTGTTTTTTCAATGTAACGAATTGCTTTGGCAAGGCAATGTTGTATTTCCTTTGTTCTATGATTCGGGTGTAGCTTTGTGAAGAGAGCCAGGGCTTGCATTGCAGAACCAGTACACTTAACATACCTATTAATTTCACAACAAGGAACACAGATATGCAGTAAGTGAGAAATTTATATACGCGTCAACAATGTTTGTTTATGATTGATCTTGCTATATATCTTACTCCCTCTCAATCAGTGTGTCTTCAAAAAATTCAGTTGGATTGAATTTCTGCAGCAGACGGGCATATAATTAGTTGTTAGTCATTCTTATAAATTTTTCTTGACAGTGAAGAATAACTTCATAACATACCTCTAGCCAACTGTAAGCATTTTGAGGCTCCCAAGCAGGGAACCCGCCGTTGCTGCTTTGTAGAGAGAGGATGACATTAACAGCATCATTGAATCGCTCTGTTTCCAATTTTTCTCCAACGAGATCACTTGGCATTTTTGACAGTAACAGTGCAGCCTGCATGTGTTAGTGTACGTATGTAGTCATGATTATCACCTAGGCATGCATGCATATTTTGAAAAACCAATAAAATAATTAATAGAACCTTGAGTCCTTCTGCTGTGCAGTCCGAGACCTGCCAGCCTTGGTCATGCATTGAGAATGCCCATGATCCTTTGCATATGTGTCTGTACATTTCTTTGAACTCGCCAGATGGATTTTCAACTACCTGCGAGGCCTTCAGGAAGTCATGTGCTTTTCGAAGCGTAGGACCGTACTCTTCACTCACGTTACAAGCAAGTATTGCTTGTATGGCAAATGTTGCATCCCACGTTTGACTTCCACAACTCTACATCCATTATTATTTACACATCTATTTAACAACTGTTAAAGGGCTGGCTCAACTACATACTATTAAATGAAGTGTTGTATGCCTTATTTGGTTAAGTAATAAATTAAATACAATACTAACCTGGATTTTCAGGCCATCTTCTGCGAGCCAGAAATAATCGAGGATTTGGGCTAAATGAAGTTTGTATGCCTCTGAGTTCGGGTCTTCAACCCAACGTGCTATCAAACATAATACTTTCTCTACACTTCCAATGCAAAGGTATCTACTGTTCTCATCCTCGTAACGCACATAATTAATTGCGATTTCTAATGCCTTATGTCTAAGCTTAGAAAATGGCCAGCAGTTCAGAATAGGCTCTCCCATGTGATAAAGAAATCCCCATAATATATCTTGAATCATAGGATGTGGGTAGTACAGATCCTCCTGGAATTGCATGCTATTGTCAGTTTCATATTTATATATGCATGCATGTATGTATCAAATTAAATAGTATAGATTGATTCCACACGTGTACAAACCTTAACAATAGTGTTCCGGGCTTTGTTCCAGTTAACTTGATGATAAGGCTTGTTGTACATCTCTTCTCTTAGTGATCTTACTAGGTCAGTGATAGGGCCCACAAACTTCTTCCCATATAAATATGACATGGGCATGTAAACTAACCGACAGAGACACATCATTTTCCCTGCATGCATATTTATATTGACCAAGGAATTAGACAAGATAATGATTGCTTAAAGAAATAAGGATTAACCAACTCAGACACGCACCTGGGTGAATAGGGGTGAATTTTGGTAGAAACCAGAACTCTGGTGGAAGCGGATTGCAGCCTTGCCACTCATAAACTCCAAGGACCTATATATAGTATGATTAAATTGCTTATTTTTATGGAAACTTTTCTAAATAGGATTCACTACTATAATTATGCTTAGCTTACCGTGACCCAAAACTTTCCCCATGATGGAATAACCACTAAACCACCATGGTTGAGGATCCATTTTCTGCATCTGTTCATTGCCCCATCTTCGCCATCTTCATGTTCTTCTCCAATTAACCTCAATGTAATATAGCTCAATGCAGATCCAAACTGTTGCACCCCAAAATTTGCTCAACCTTATTCACTTGGTTTATGTTTCAATGTCATTAGCATTTGCATATAGAGTCATGTACATAGTCTAATCATCTGCATAGCAAGGCATACAACAGGGGGGCCAATCATTATTCTCATCTCTAGAAGCCTATCAAGAGGTTATTATCCCAATTCAATCTCATTCAAGTCATCAGGAAAGAATTTGAAAGCAAAGAGTTCAGCAGATCAAGCCTTGAGTCCATCTCCTAGCTGAGGGTATCTGAGGGTCAGCAAGAGGGTTGTGAGCTGTGAGTTGAAGGCATGGAGAGTATCTAGACACTATGAGATGCTTAGAAAGTCATTTAAAGAAGGAGACAAGTCATTGATGAGAGCACAAGAGCTATAGTTGAAGATAGTCAACTAGGGTTTCATCTGGGTCAACCCTAGGTCAACCCTAGGTCAATTGACTGATTTAAGGGGCATTCAAGTCTAGTAGAGAGATGTGGGGTTCATCATTGGACATATAAATAAGGATATGGAGATATGCCAAGAAGAATTCAAGAGAAATCAAGGAGAAGAGGAGTTTCTAAATTAGGGTTTCTGTGTAAAATCCCCTAGTTTAGGTCAAATTTCCAAGCAAGATAAGTCAAAATGATAGCTTCAAATGGCTTCTTGGCCAACATGAAACTTGTAGAGGATCTCAATACCTTTAATTTGAGTGGTGGAAGACATCAAGGAGATTTATAGAACTCAAGTTATGGTCCTTGCAAGTTACAGGTCATCTGAGGTATCTGAAATTTTGTCTGTGAAAGTGACTTGACTTCCAAGCTAGTTTTACCCCTCAAGGTGATTTCAAATGAATTTCTGGTCAACATAAGAATTGTTCCTCATTGTCTTATCTTTCTAGAATGGTATAGCATGCCCTCATATGATGTGTGGAACTCAACTTATGGTCTTGGCAAGCAAAGGGTATTTTGGTCATTTGTGAATTACAGGTCATTTTAACCTATGTCCAAAACTCATACAAGGAGTCCTCAAATGGAAAAACTTACAACATCAAACTTGCTCCAAATGACATTTTGAGTCTAGAAAGAAGGTCACAAATTGTTGGAAAAGCTCATAACATGAAGTTGCATGATTGGTTAAATTTGAACTAAAATGGCTTATAACTTGAATAAAGTCAAAGTGAAAAATGGTTTGAGAGATTTATAAGTCCAAATGGAGACTTCCAATATATGATTTTGGGTCCAAAAGACATTTCAAAGACAATGGTTCAAGCACTTTTTTGAGTTTAGAAGGAAAAAGAAAAGTTACTTATGGTTACTTGTATTTGAAGAAACATAACCAAGATCAATCAAAGTTGGAAGGCAAGGGAAGTTTTAAGATGGATCTAGAAGTTTCCATTGAGCCCTATATATTCATGAAATCAGAATTGAGCAAGGGTTGGATTCATTTTTCACCAAAAATTTCCCCAAAGTTTCTCATTCTTTCTCATTGCAATTTCATCCAAATTTCACAAATTCAGCATCAATTCTCATCAACATTGATCCTCCTACATTCAATCATCATCATGGCATAGAATTCAATAAAGATCCTGGTGGTTAGAGCTCAATTTCGTGCACTTTCATCAAGAACACACAAGTTGCAAATTTAGTTGGAACTCAAGATCCAGTGCAAGACTCCTCAAGGTGTTGCATACAGAATCAAGTAGTGCAATTGTAGATCAAGATTGAAGCATCAAGGCTCTCAGATCCACGAATTTCATCATCATCCACAAGCTTTTGCACCAGGTTCAATTTCTCTCCCATAGCTTGATATAGATAGATTTACATGGTTTTATTAGTTTAGATGTGATTTAGGTTATTAGTAGAACGATTAGGATGAGTTTGGTGCTGTTTAGTGATGATTGTTAGCAGGTTGTTAGAACTGTTAGGACTTAGAACTTGCAGTAGAGTGTGTGATAATCTTAGGTCGTTAGTGCAGAATGATCTACGTGAAGTATAGAAGAGATTAGTGTAGGTTTGGTTGAGAATCTTGAGGATGAGTTGCAGAGTATTTTCATGGAGTCAGAGCTTGTCTCGATCGGTTTGAGTGATTTGTTGAGTTTCAAAACAAGCTACCACCATAGTCTTGTAGAGGAAGAAAATTGGAGCGTTTTTCATGTTTATATCATGTTGATCCATGGACTGTGGAGAGAGAACCGAGAGCTTGAAGTTGGTTCGTGCATGGAGTTTCATGGAGGAAACCCTAGTTCTCACAAGCCAAGGAAGAAGACATAATCCTGAGCGTCCATTGCGTGTTGGACTTTTGACCTCAGAGCCCATCGTGAGGCTCTCATTTAATTCTGAGATTTGGAGGGAAGAGTGGTGCCCTAAACGCACCGTTTCATTTAATGAAACGGGCGGGCCTGAGTGTTAGTGATATCCACACCCCCGTGACCTGAGCCCAATTTGATTTGAACGTGGAAACCATGCTGAATGCACCCCCTGCTTGTTTTTATTTTTAATAATTCTGAAGTTTTCTGGGCTTAATTCAACTTGCTGTTCGTACCCCCAGTATTAAGCCCAATCTTAAAAAACAACTAGGGCGCTTTGCTATTCTTACCCCTCCCTCTCATTTTAATTCAATTTAGTTTTTTTAATTCATATTAATTCTTATCAACTTTAAAAAATCATAAAAAATAGGAAATTAACTCTTTTTTAGTGGTTGTTTTTTCTATATTTTCTTGGTTCTGTGTAGAAAATTGTCATTAAATAAAATTGCATTTTTATTTTTATTTGATATTTTTTCCATATTTTCTAAATAAATGACATTTTGAATAGCTTCATTTCATGCATGATTTTGTTAATTTTTGTTCTATTAGATACTTTCATATTTTTTGTTCATTCTTTTTAGGTTGTTTAGATGAGATATTGAACTTGTAGAAACAATTTAGTCCCCATTTTTAGAAATTAATTTTAGGTGCTTAATGTAGGCTTGAACAACATGAACAAATTAGGGTTTTTTAGGTGATGACTTAAGAAGTTTGATTTCATTTCCCTTAGGACTTAGGGTTTGAATAGTTTAGCTATGGGATTATAGGGGCTATGGGTAGCTATTAGATCCCCTTAGAAGAAGTCAGGATTCCCCTACTGCTATTAATACTCTGTATATCTGATTGACTGGTGTGGTGTGCCCTCTGGGGATTGTTGCTTGCTTGTTTGGGTATTGGGTTTGTCTGGGGACCTGGGAGAGCTGAAGACTTGAGGAGATGGAAGCCATTGGAGATCCAGAGATTGATGATCAACTGCCAGAGTTGGAGAGGAGGTTATTGCTAGCAGATGCTGAGGAGACTAGGGTTTAGGAGCTAGGCAGAGCTCTAGATTAGGAAGCTTGTTTCTCAAACATGGAATGCCTTGTCTGCATCCATCCTTTCTCTATGATTCAAAGTCTCTTCCAAATATCCACCTCCTTCCTTTGGAAGGATCAGTGAATGTATTTGGAAGATAGAACTTTTGAGAGGAAACTTTCTGTTTAATGTTAACAGTTGATGAACCACCCTTGGTAGGTAATTAACTGTCTAACATTCATTCACTTCACTCTTGTGACTGATTCCTCATCCTGGAGGTTTGAGCTTGAAGAAAAGCCATTGCAGATAGAAGACAGATGATCAAAGCCCTTTGCCTGAAGGCCAGGTAGATGGAGATTGATGCTTATTGAAGCCTGTAGCTGATTGGAGATTACTTGAAGCCAGATGTTGATTCAGAGCTGCTGATGCTGTTTCTTTTGCTGTTGTATTTCATTGTTGATGTATTGATTGGTTTTCTGGACTGTATTGTGTGCTGTTTACCCTGCTGGGTTGAAAGTGAAGCCTGTTCACTTTTGCCTATTGTTTTCCAGGTTCGAGGTTGAGTGGGACTCCCTTGCCTCGCTTGTACTGTTGCATCCATGCATTTTACTGTTTTACTGTATATATCTGATATTGTTTCTGTTTCTGCCTATCCCTTAGGATCTCTGTTTCTCTCTGTGCAAGAGAGGAGCATGATAGACACTAGGTCTTAACCCATGCATGATAACATTAGGTTAGTTTGATTCCCTTCGCAACCGTAGGTTAGAGTTCTGTCTCTTCTCTCTCAAAACAAACAGAAAAACACAATAAGATTTCAAACTCAATAAAAGACACTTCTTCCGTAAAAGAATGTGAACTCATCAAAGCGTCATTTTTGTCCGCTTGGACTGCTAATCAGAAAAACCTTTTTCAGAAGGAATAAAATCAATCAAGGACAGACTTGTGTCGTCCGTAGCCCGAACTACGTTTGCTCTGATCTTCCATGCTGTGTGGAAGTACGTAGGCATAGGATGCGATATCCTAGCGAGCAACCGTCCCCTCCTTTCCCGTAGGTAGGTGAACTACGTTGACTCTGATTTCTCGTTCCAGACGGGAATACGTAGGCATAAAGTGCGATACTTTGCCGAGTCATTTTTTTATTTTCATTTTCTTTTCTTTTAACCCCAGACCTTTAGCGTAGATAGAATAACAATCCATACCCGAAAACAAGCGTGGATCCCGTCGAGTACGACGGACGTGAGGGGTGCTAATACCTTCCCCTTGCGTAACCGACTCCCGAATCCAGGTTTTGGTTGCGACGACCATACCTTTCCCGTGTTGTGCGAGGTTTACTCTGAGCGTTTCCTTTCCCTCCCGTGGGATAAATAACGCACGGTGGCGACTCTTCTGTTCAGCCGGCGCCGATTTTCGCAGTAGCGACAGCTGGCGACTCTGCTGGGGATCCAACGTCCCCTGGCTGCTAAGGACTGCGATAGTTCTTAGGCATTTGGGATCCAAAGTCCCTTTGAAAGAGTCAATCCTAACGCTTGTTTTCCCGTCGAGGATTTTGTATGGAGTTATTGTATATTTCTAACCTTGTATTTTCAGCTTTGTATATTGATCATTATTGCTGTATTTG